CTGAGCTCGTGGGCCAGACTCTGGGGGCCCAGAACACTCTGGCCTTGCCCTGCTGAGCGGGTGCGTCGCACTGACAGGCCCCGCTCCTGCCTGCCTCAGGGCCTTTGAACGTGCTGTCTGTCTCTCAGTGTGAACCCCAGCGCCCGGCGAGTCACCGTTTGGCCCCTAATTCAAACTGAAAATCACTTTTGTTTGGGCCAAACCAAAGCAGCCCCAGGGCCGAGTGTGACCCACTTTGCCACTTGGGCGCTGACAGTCTCCAGCCCCTCGCCTTCTCTCGCTCAGGGCTCGGCCCGCCCGCTCTTTCTGCTGGCTCTGTCCCCGTTTGTCCCCGTGCCTTTCAGACGCGGTCGCTGGGAAGCTGCGGTCATCCAAACCTGCTCCCCACCCCCGCTCCCTGGCCTCAGAGCCCAAGGAAACCTTCGTCTTGCGCATGGACCTGATCCCGGGGTCGCCCTGCCCCATCCCTGCAGAAAGGGTCCTGGAGCCCCTCGGCTGGCCCCCAGAGTCCTTCGCGGGCACACGCGCAGCTTCAGACTCCCCTCCTTGACTTTCCACTTCCCTCCCCCGGAGAGGTGCATTTCCCGACGAGCACCTATTCGACCGTCAAGACCCCGCTCAAATGCCCCTTCCCGTGGCTGAGTTTCCATGGCCCTCTTCGCCCTGCAGTGTCCTGCTCATGCGGCCTCACACCCAGTGGGGGACACCCCCGTGTTGAGATTCCGACGGGCAGCGCTGTTTCTCCTCCAGGTTGTGCCCTGGCTCGGTCAGGGACCTCGTCTCATCATGCAGTTCAATCTCTGCTTTTCCGTGCCTGGACTCCACCGTGGCGAGCAGGGCATCGCTCCCAGCACAGTGCCCTTGTTCTAGTGAGCCCTGGCTGGGTGAAGAGAGCAGGGGGGGCCGGGGTGAGTGAGTGCAGAGGGCTCGCACCCCCCCCCGCCCGGCTCCCCTTAGCAGTGCCCCTTTCTTTGGTGAGGGTTGAGAGGAGGTGGCGGCTTCGGAACTGCAGGGCAGTTGGATTCCTGCTCCAAAGAACCCCCCGTGAGGGACAGCGGGAAGGACCATCCTGGAAAAGTGCCCCTCAAGTCCCCGGGTGGGTGGGGGGGCTTCCTCCGCCAGGGCAGAGCTGCCATGGGGGCAGGACCCCCCTGCCCCCCGCTGCCCGTCCCCCATGCCACAGCCCTGGTGACCACAGAGACCACAGTGAGGGAGTGAGGGTTGAGCCCGCGGGGTCCAGCACCTCGTGCCCTGACGCTCTGCCCGCAGCGAGAGCACCAGAGGCGGCTCCTGCAGACGTCTGGGCTCGGGTCCCGGGTTTCTCACGGTCTGCAGCCCACCCAGAGAGGCTGGCAATTTTTTTTTTCTAATTGCAGAACAAATCTTGGGTGTTATGATTAAAACACACACACACAGGGACACACACACACACACACACACACACACACACACACACACACACACGGCGGCTGTTCCCAGCTTGCTGGGCCATTCAGAATGGGGACAAAAGGAGCTGAAAGCAGAGACCTGGCGTTTGTGGTAATGATTCTTCTCCACTGGGCTTTGGAAAGTGCTGGAAGGTGCCGGAGGCCTGCTTAGCAACCCTCCTGCACCACCCGGGCAAAGGCATGAGGGCTCACAGCCGCCAGCCACACAGGCAGGACACTCGGTGACCGCGGCTGTCCTCCCGTACCGGAGCCTGACCTGCCTCCCACGCAGGACCCCTGTTACCGCTGACCAGAGAGAGAAGACCAGGGAGACCCCCCTCCCCTTGTAGGTGAGACCCTGAGGTCGGCCTCCGTGCCCAGGACAGGCTGTGACAGGACAGTGGGGCCATCGGTCGGTGGGGGGGGCTGGGCTGGCTCCTGGTACCGTCCGCCTCATCGCCCCAAGACAGGCCGGAGAGTTCTCGCTAAAGAGGAATTCTCTTTTCTTTGTTCTGGGAACGGCTGGCTCTGCCCTCCCCTGGGTGAGCTCCGCATGGCAGACACTGACTGGGGACCTAGAACGCCCCAGCCCCGTGCCCAGCTTCACCCTAGCCTGTGGGGTGCCCGGGGCTGTGCCCGTCTTCCTGCCACTCCCCGCCATCCTCATGTTGTCGGGGCGCCTGTGTGCCCAGGCCCTGACAGGCTCTGTGATGATTGATCAGCTGGTCCCTCCAGAGGGATGGGACGGGAGTCTTATCCCTCCTCCCTCCCTGCACCCCTCCCGCCCCCCCCCCCCGGCTTCCAGGGGGCTTGGCCTGGGGGGCGGCCCGCAGAGAAGATAGGAGTGACGATGGCCCCTGGGCCAGTGTTTGCGAAACAGGATGTACATGTTGGCTGGTGGGCGCTCCATGCCATGACCCCTGACTGCTATCAGGAATTACTCCTGGGGGTGCTCGGGGGGGCCCCGTGGGATGCTGGCTGGCCGCGCGGGTTAGGCAAACGTCTTCCCCGCTGTATTGTCACCCCGAGGTGTCAGTAGCCTGGAGGAAGCTCAGGACTGCACCTGGGGGACCCCAACACTTGCCGCCCCCAAGACTTGCTGCCCAGTCGTGTCATCTCTGGTTTCTTCCTCCTCGGCCCACCAGCTGCCTCTGACACTCAGTCCGGGGGTGGGCGCAGCTGGTGCTGCCCAAGGTTTGGGGGAGAGGACCTTGCTCCCAGCCCCCCATCCCACACCCAGGAGGGACTTTGTCTGATTGGCCCGGGGGGGGGGGGATCGGGGCACTAGGAACCAGCCTGGTGCCTGGCGCGTTGGAGACCAGCTCAGGGCCTTGTGGGTTTGGTGGCTAATGGGGAGTCCTTGACGGGTGATTACCTCCCCTCAACCCCCCACTTCCTGGGTCCCCTCTCTCCCCCCTGCACATTGCCAACCTCCCCGACCAGCCCGGGAGCCCAGCCCGTCTGGGCTCAGTTCTGAGAGCCCGGTGGCCTGCCTAAGTCTGGGGGCTTCGGAGGGTGCCCGGCTCAGGGGGTGGTCGGGACCCACCTGTGGTGACCCTGCAGGACGGACAGGCCGGGGGTTTGGCCTCACATCCCCGAACTTGGTGTGGTTCTCCTGAGCTGGAGGAAGGCCCGGGCATGTGGTCACGGGGGCTCCTGGCTCCCGGCTGGACTGCAGATCGGCAGAGGCACAGCAAACGCGGGTCCTCGAGGGCGGGCGGGCGGGTGCGGTTGTGGGGGAACAGCCTCCCCCCACCCCCTTGGCTGTGTGCTTGGCTCGGCCCCGCCCCTCCCTGGAGATCCCTGTGGACTCCCCACGGCTCCTCTCCCCCGCCGGCTGGCTTTAAAACGGGTCCCGAGACTAGGAAGCAGGTCAGGTCCATGCAGACGCGACGAGCACTGTGGGAACTGAGTTTGGGGTGGGTTTCGGGGAAGGAGAACTCGGCCCGGGGCTGCCGTTGAGCAGACGGGACTTCTCTGCCTCCTCTGCGCGGTCCCGGGGCAGCGTGCCGGCCTTCGCCCCATCCCGCGGGCCCCAGCGCCCCCCGCTCGAGCTGTCCTGCCCAGGGTCCCCTGGCTGCCCCAGCGCTCACCGTCCCTGCCCTCTCTGTCCACAGGCTCTCGCCCACCAGTGCCCGAGGGAGCCTCTCTGGACGGACCCCCACAGAAGCTACCAGGTACCTCCAGCGCCCCGCAGTTCCCCTGCGTGGAACCCCCTGTTCTGCCTGGCCAGGACAGTTCCTGTGGCCAGCAAGGCCGTTTGGCCTCGGTTCCACAGGCAGACAGGATTCTGCTCTTCTGGGGGTGGGGGAGGGTCGAGGGGGCAGCTGAGTCCAGAGCCATCCAGAGAAGCTGTCCACTTAGCCGACCAAAGGGGGCTACAGGACTGGCCGGAGCACACGGTGACGTGGTCAGTGGTCGCTGCGTGAGAGGTAGCAGGAGGACATTGGGGGTGACCAGCGCTGGAGAGGTCAGCCTGCCCGAGGCCTTTGGGGTCTGAGTTTTGGGGTCACACCCAGAGGTACTCGGGGACTGTTCCTGGCTCAGTGCTCAGGAGGGATCCTGGCGGTGCTCAGGGGACCGTTGGGAACTCAACCTTCAGCCCGTTTACACCCGCTGGGGGTCACGGGCGGGGGGGTACTCCTGCACACGCGGCTTCTCTGCTTCTCTTGCAGGGATAGTCGGGCAGAGCCAGAGGCACTGATAGAGTGTGTGTGTGTTTGTATGTGTGTGTGCGTTTGTGCATGTGTGTGCGTGCATGTGTGTGCATGTGTGCGTGTGTGTGTGTGCGCGTGCCTGTGTGTGTATGAGAGAGAGAGAGAGAGAGAGTGTGTGTGTGTGTGTGTGTGTGTGTGTCCTCATCAGTGTGGGGGCGGGAGAGGGGGAGCCGAGGGGGCTACGGAGATTGAGAAACTTCCTCCGCGCTAGAGAGATTGCTCAATGGCCTGAGCACTTACTTTGCCCGTGGGAGGCCTGGATTCCATCCCTGGCACCATATGGCCCCGAGCACCCCCAAGGGGCCCCCAGCTGAGCTGGGAGAACCCTCGGGTATCAAAGGATGAGAGAGAGGGAGAGAGAGAGGGAAGGAGAGAGGGAGAAAAGGAGAGAGAGAAGGAGGGAGAGAGGAGCACTGGGAGGGAGAGTGAGAGGGAGGACGGGAGGGAGGAAAGGAGGGAGGAAGCAGGCCTTCAGAACCACAGGGTTTGATGACCTTGTGCCCCCCAGTCCCCTCCCTTGCACCCCCCAGCCTCCATCACTGACCGCAGCCCTGAGGCTCGGGGACCAGTGCTCACCGCCCACAGGCAGGCCTGGAGTGTCTGTCCCGGGTCTGGTGAGCCGAGGGATGCGCCCCAACACTCAGGTGTCGGGCAAGCACAGGACCCTGCCCGGGCGGGGGCAGACAGGGTGGACGCGAGCGGCCCTGACCCACGTGGCTGCACTCGTCCCGGGGCATGGGGTCCCCTGGGTGCCCCCCTCTGTGCCCCTCACCCCCTCCCCGCCCCCAGGGTGCTGCTGAGCTGCAAAGCTGCTGTCCACGTGGACTGGAGCCGACATCGCCCGCCCGCCCGCCAGGACCCCTGCGGCGGCCAAGCACCGCGACATGGCGACCGACAGCAGCAAGGTGGCCGACGGGCAGATCTCCACGGAGGTCAGCGAGGCGCCGGTGGCCAACGACAAGCCCAAGACGCTGGTGGTGAAGGTGCAGAAGACGGACCTGCCCGACCGGGACACCTGGAAGGGCCGCTTCGACTTCCTCATGTCCTGCGTGGGCTACGCCATCGGGCTGGGCAACGTCTGGCGCTTCCCCTACCTCTGCGGCAAGAACGGCGGCGGTGGGTGCCCCCCCCGGATGGTGTCTGGGCAAAGGGCTCCTGGGTCCCCACGGGGCCACATGCCCCTCCCAAAGGCCCACGGGCGACTGTCCCCTGCAGGCCACCTGGACACTTGCACCCTGAGACCCAGGGGTGCGTCTGAGCGGAGGCTGCGGGGGTCTTGCTGGGCCTGGCTGTAGGGGACACGGCGGGGGCTCCCAGAGTGCTCCGCTGCAGTGCTCCCTCTGAGGGAGGGGGCCATGAGTCTCTCTCCCTGCGCCCCTGCCTTCCCCTGCCCCCTGCAGGGCCTTCCCCTCCCCCAGGAGTTTCTCTCCCTCCTCCCCCCGCAGGGGCCTTCCTCATCCCCTACTTCCTGACGCTCATCTTCGCGGGGGTCCCGCTCTTCCTGCTCGAGTGCTCCCTGGGCCAGTACACGTCCATCGGGGGCCTGGGCGTGTGGAAGCTGGCCCCCATGTTCAAGGGTAAGTGTGTGTCCTTCTGCGTTCCCCACCTGCCGAGCCAGGCCGAGGGGCGACTGCCAGGCCGGGTGGCAGGGCTGGGGGGTGGCGAGGAGTGGCCCAGGGTGCCCCGTGGCAGCTCGAGACGACCCCTTAGCTGGGCTGCGCTGCCTGGTGGATATTTGGGGACGTAGGGGCCAGGCAGAACCCAGTGCTGGGTCCCCTGGGCTGGCCTCCTGTGTACATCCGGGCTATGTGTGTGTCTGTGTGCATGGTATGTGTGTGGTATCTGTGGTATCTGTGTGTGATGTGTGTATGTATGGTTGGTGTGTGTGTAGTATGTGTATGATGTGTGTAATGGGGGTGCGTGTGGTGTGTGTGTCTGTGTGTGTGTCTGTGTGTCTGTGTGGTGGGTATGTCTGGTGTGTGTGTATGGTTGGTGTGTATAATGTGTGTGGTGGGGGGTGTGATGTTTGTGATAGGTATATGGTGTGTTTGTGGTGTGTGTGTGCGGTGGATATGTGTGCAGTGAATGCATGTGACATATGTGTGTATGTGTGTGTATCTGCGTGGGGGTGGTATGTGTGTGTGGTGGGTGTGTGGGGTGTGTGTCTGTGTGTGGTGTGTGTCTGTGTGTGGTGTGTGTGCCTGTGTGTATGTGTGTGGTGCGTGTATGTGTGTGGTGTGTGTGTCTATGTGTGTGGTGTGTGTGGTGTGTGGTGTATGTGCGTGTGGTGTGTGTGCCTGTGTGTATGATGTGTGTCTGTGTGTGTGTCTGTGTGTGGTGTGTGTCTGTGTATATGTGTGTGGTACGTGTATGTGTGTGGTGTGTGTGTCTATGTGTGGTGTGTGTGTGTGTGTGGTATATGTCTGTGTGGTGTGTGTGCCTGTGTGTATGGTGTGTGACCGTGGGTGTGTCTGTCTGTGGGTGTGTCTGTGTGTATGTGTGTGGTGTGTGTGTGGTGTGTGTGTCTGTGTGTGTCCGTGTGGTGTGTGTGTATGTGTGTGGTCTGTGTGCCTGTGTGTGCCAGTGTGTGTGGTGTATGTGTCTGTAGGTGTGTCTATGTGTGGGGTGTGTTTGTCTGTGTGTGATGTGTGTGTCTGTTTGTGTGTCCGAGTGTGGTGTGTGTGTGTGTATGCGTGTGTGGTGTGTGTGTGTGAGAGAGACTCTCACCCCGTCTGTCTGAGGCTGGGGCAGGGGTGCCGGCGTGGGCAGCTGGCTGGGGCTTGATCCCGGCCGTGTCCCCCGTGTGTCCCAGGTGTGGGCCTGGCCGCCGCCGTGCTGTCCTTCTGGCTGAATATCTACTACATCGTCATCATCTCCTGGGCCATCTACTACCTGTACCACTCCTTTACCACGGTGAGCCGGGAACCCCCTCTCCAGAGACCCCCAGACAGCACCTGGGCGGGGCCCAGGCCCGGGCAGGCCCTCGTACCCAGCCTTACGGGGGTGGGGGGGCACTCGAGAGAAGGCAGAGAGACGTTTAGGCGGGGCTGGGAAGCGGCTCAGCGCAGAAGCACCGGCCTCCTCCTGTGAGGTCTCGGGCTTCATCCAGGCCCCACAAAGTGCCCATTATTTATTTACTGGTTTGGGGCCACACCCGGCAGTGCCTATAACTGACTTTGTGTTTAGTGGTCACTGCTGAAAATGCTCTGGGGACCCTATGAGGTGCTAGGGGTTGACCTTGGAAACCCAACCCTCCTGTCCAAGCTCTCTCGCCCTCTAGTCATGTTTTTTAAATGTTAAACCCCAACCCTAGTATATACCGGCTGTGCAATTTTTGGAAAGAGACTTAACCTCCCTGAGCCTTGCAGTGAAACCCACCCAGGGTGTTTGTGAGGTTGGAGGAGATATCAGGTGTCGACAGAGTCTGAGCGAGGCCGGGAAGTGTCAGCTCTCAGCCACGTGCCTGGAGGTGGCTGGGGATGAGCAGCTTGGCGGGGGGGGGGGGGGGGGGGGGGGGGTGGCGCGTGAAGAGGCTCAGCCTCTAGTGGCCCTGTCTGTGTCCTGGAGCTGGGGGAGGACGAGGCCGGGGCCAGGGCCACTCACAGCTGTACCCCGCACAGACGCTGCCCTGGAAGCAGTGTGACAACCCCTGGAACACGGAGCGCTGCTTCTCCAACTACAGCGTCATCAACAGCACCAACATGACCAGCGCCGTGGTGGAGTTCTGGGAGTGAGTGCACACGGGCAGCCGCGGGGGGGACAGACAGCCAGAAAGGAACTGGACAGTCGGGAAGGGGCTGCAGGAGCCCCAGGGGAGTGGGCAGCTGGCCGGGGGAGGGAGGCAGCACCCTGAGACACAGGCTGTGACCTTGGGCTGCAGAGAAGCACCTGGACTCGTGTCCGCTGGTGGAAGACCCGAGCAGGGGTCAGTGGCAGCTGAGGGGAGGTGGGCCCAGGAGGTCCCCGAGGCGTCTGGACCAGCCCAGGGGTGGGGCTGGAGCCACAGATGGCAGAGCCTGCCCGGGGCTTGGAGGCAGGTGCGAGCGAGGAGGCCGGGCGGGGGAGAGTCTCGGGCCGGTGAGTTTGAGGGGCTGTGGGGGGGGGGGCCGAGCGCACAGACGCTGCAAAGACCTTGCAAGGTCACGGCCTGCTGGTGTGCAGGAACCGGCTCTTCCAGTGGCGGGGGCAGCAGGGTGAGAGGGGTCGGAGCAGGAGTGAGGGGGATGCTCCCCCCGGATGGCTCAGCAGCCCCTGCCCACCCCCCCCCCCAGGCGCAACATGCATCAGATGACAGATGGGCTGGATAAGCCGGGTCAGATCCGCTGGCCCTTGGCCATCACCCTGGCCATCGCCTGGGTGCTGGTGTACTTCTGTATCTGGAAGGGTGTCGGCTGGACTGGAAAGGTAAGGGGACGCACGATGGGGGCCGCAGGGGGCGGGGTCTTCAGGGTGCCTGCCCGCCTGCCACACAGCCCCGTCTAGCGTGGAGTTAAGGGAGTCCCTTCACCGTTTCTGCCTCTGTTTCCTTTCCTGAAAGACGCAAACCATAACACGGCCCACCTCTGGACAGCGGTGAGGAGGGAAGCCAAGTGTAGGCTGGGCCACGGCATGGTGACGGGTTCTCGGGGCTCACAGACACCCCAAGTCTGACACTGTCACAAACAGGAGGGCAGGTGCTGCTCACTGAGCACTGTCCCTGCACACCTGCCCCGCACACCTGCCCAGAATGAGACCCATCACTGTTACTGGTATTTGGCATATTGAGTACGCCCAGCCCTGGGCCGGCTGTGCCACTCCATCCAAGTCACCAGCCCTCTCTGGAACTCAGCTTCCACCTCTGTGAATAGGGCATATCCACTGTTGTTTATTTTCTACGAGGATCAAAGGAAGTGGTGATTTTTGTAAGGTGTTTCGCAGTAGCCTTGCAAGCACAAAATCTCTAACCAGCAGCAGCAAAATGTCACCACTCCAGGAAGAATTGACATTTCTTGTCTACTGTAGTTGACAGGCGCTTCCAGGTCTGGCGGAAACAGCCATGAACAAGACAAGCTGTGCCCCATGTAGCATGCATTCTTAGGAGGAGAACTTTTGCGTGTGTTCATGTATCTGTTCAGTATTTTTTTCTGTTACTACATGTCTGACTTGGATGATTTAGACAGGAAGTTGAAAAAAAAAGGAAAGTTAAGGTGAGGGGGAAGGCCGGGCTAGACTCATTGGTTCAGAATCGCGCAGGGGGCCACGCAGAATAGGCTAGAATTCCAGGAAGGCTTCCTGCAGGAATGGGCACCAAAGCCCGAGCCAATCCAGGTATGTCGCAGGTGAAGCAGGGCAGGGGCAGGCTGGGCACGCTGATGGCCTGCAGCGGCGGCCCCCTCGCCCCCCAGGTGGTCTACTTCTCAGCCACATACCCCTACATCATGCTCATCATCCTGTTCTTCCGCGGGGTGACGCTGCCCGGGGCGCGGGAGGGGATCCTCTTCTACATCACGCCCAACTTCCGCAAGCTGTCGGACTCGGAGGTGAGAGCCCGGGGGGACCCACGCCTGCCCAACTTCCGGTCAGCCGCTGGCCCTCCACGTGCCCGTGCAGACAGGGGGTGTGTCCGGGCCGAGCCGGGCCTCTGGCTGCCGTGGTGGTCTGACTCTTGGTAATTCTGCCTGAAGGTGTGGTTGGATGCGGCCACCCAGATCTTCTTCTCCTACGGGCTGGGCCTGGGATCTCTGATCGCTCTCGGGAGCTACAACTCTTTCCACAACAACGTCTACAGGTGAGAGCGCGGCCAGGGAGCCCTCGGCTCCACGGCCACGCCCCTGGAAGGCCACGCCCCTCTGCGGCCACGCCCACGCGAGGCCACGCCCCTGAGGCCACACCTCCTTCGTCACGCCCCCTGAAGACCTGCCCCCAGCTCTCCTCGCCTCCTGCACCGCCCCCCTGTGGGCCACGCCCCTACGTGGCCTTGCCCAAGCGGCAACCCTGAGGCCACGCCCCCTGCGGGCCACGCCCCTACATGCTAGGCCCTAATCCACACCCCTCGGTGGCCACGCCCCTGCGTGACCACGCCCCCAGGACAGCCCATGGCCACGCCCTTCCACTCAGGTCTTTGCACCATCACGCAGCCCCTCTCCAAGCCCCGCCCTTCTCGATTAAGGCTCCGCCCCTTTCCCTGGGATGGGGCCACTTCCCTGTCCTGAGCCCCCGCCTGCCGGCCTCCTCGCCAGTGCCCCCCTGCTGACCCTGACCCTCCCTCTCCGCAGGGACTCCATCATCGTGTGCTGCATCAACTCTTGCACCAGCATGTTCGCCGGCTTCGTCATCTTCTCCATCGTGGGCTTCATGGCCCACGTCACCAAGAGGTCCATTGCTGATGTGGCGGCCTCAGGTCAGCCGCGCGGGGAGGCCGAGGGGCTCTCTCCGCTGGCATTTGTGGTCCTCGGCACTGGGTACTGCCACCCTGCCTGGCTGGCTGTGGGCATCTCTGCGCTGGGAAGGACTGGGCGTGATACTGCCAGGGCTGGTCCTCAAACCTCCCAACACCCTGGGGGGATATTCCTAGTAGCCCCATTAATAGCTGTGGAGACTGGGGCTCCAGAGCCTCTTCCGAAGATGGGGGGCCCTTGACCCTGAGCCCAGATCTGGGAGGGGGGGACCTGTCTCTTCTGACGCTTGGAGCTAGATTCATGGGGTACTTCTGGGGGCAGGGGAGATGCACACTTGCCCTCTGAACAGTGGTTTTCAACCACTGGGCGCCTGGCCTGCTGTGGCATGGACGGGCAGTTCTGCCCGGGAGGGGTCTTGTCATCTCACAAGGCCCGGGGGTGGTTGGAGAGCGCTGTTCTGGATAAACTCACAGCTTGGAGGTGCTTGCCAGCGAATTGCACTCCCCCCCCCCAGGCCAGTGCTCTGTCCCCATCGCCACAGTGACCTCATCAGGGGGCTGCATGTGACAGCCACAGGGTTGCAGGAATGCCCTGACACTCACCCCATCCCTGCTGCCCTGGGAGCCGCTGAGAGGTGGGCCTCGACCCAGAGAGGCCATGCAGGACGGGCAGGACAGGGGAGAGCAGGTCCCCCCTGCCTGGGTCCTCGTCTCCCTCTACAGCACCCCACCTCATTTCTTCCCTTTTGTTTTTTTTTGGGGGGTAGGGGCATGGTTTGACCTAGTGATGCCCAGGGTCTACTTCCGGCTGGGTGCTTGGGGCTCATTCCTGGCAGTGCTCAGGGGACCATGTGGTGCTGAATATCAAACCCAGGTTTCCCGTAAGCGGAGATTGGGTAACCCCTTAAGCTCTACCACATATCGTTTCTCTGAGTCACCCCCTTTGGCAGAGCCGGGCCCCAGGGAAAATCCAGTTTCTCCCTTTCACCTTCCCAGGCCTTTCCTGAGCTTGACGCCACAGAATGATGGTCCCTCCCGGGAGGAGGGGCGGCGCAGGCTGGGATGGGCTGCCTCACTCCGGGGCTGCTTCTCTCTTTCCTGCCCAGGCCCCGGGCTGGCGTTCCTGGCGTACCCCGAAGCTGTGACCCAGTTACCCATCTCTCCACTCTGGGCCATCCTCTTCTTCTCCATGCTACTGATGCTGGGCATTGATAGCCAGGTGGGACCCCGGCGGGCACCACCCCCCACTCCGCGCGGGGCCAGGAGCATGCGGGAAGAGGAGACCCCCTGCTTAGCTCCCCAAAGGGCTGGTGGAGAGTCTCAGGCCCCTGCATGTGACCTCAGGGCACGGCTCAGCCCATGTCCCTGTTCTTCAGAGGGGTCAGTGATATGGCGAGGGGAGAGGGCAGAGGCGAAACCAGGCCTGGGTCCTGCTGGGTGGGGGGTGGGAGGGCGCTGGCTGACCTCTGTTGCTCCCTGAAGTTCTGCACCGTGGAGGGCTTCATCACCGCGCTGGTGGACGAGTACCCCAGACTCCTTCGTAAACGCAGGGAGCTCTTCATTGCTGCCGTCTGCGTGGTCTCCTACCTGATCGGCCTCTCCAACATCACCCAGGTGTGCCCAGTGGCCCGTCCAGGGGTGTTTCCTTTCCAGCCCCCAGAGCGGCCTCTCCCGCCCCTCAGGGCCTTCTGCATCTGGCTCAGCCTGTGCAGTGTAGACTAACTCCAGAGAACTGGCCGGGGGTGCTGTCTGGTGGGGAGCACCGCTGAGCTGGAAGTTTATCCCGGGCAGCGTTCTCCAACCCCCGCCCACAGCCCTCTGCGCCCCGCCTCCCCGGGAGTCTGGGGGCGGGGCCTGTCCTCATCCCTTGCCCCTGGCAGGGGGGCATTTATGTCTTCAAGCTCTTCGACTACTACTCGGCCAGCGGTATGAGCCTGCTCTTCCTCGTCTTCTTCGAGTGCGTCTCCATCTCCTGGTTTTACGGTGAGTACCATTCATTCACGCGTGAGTATCATTCATTCACGCATTCACTTCCTTTCTTCAGTCACTGCATAATGGGGATAGCGTGTACATGGGCCCTTCCTCACAGTCATCTATGTCATCCTTACCTGAGTCTATGAGATTAGTCCTAGGGTTCCCTGGTTAGAAGACCCCGAAGAATGAAGTGAACTTGCTGAAAATTGGAAGGCAGATTTCCTCCATCTTGTAAATAAGCCAATGCCACCATCTTTCAGAGGGGACACGGGTGTCCCCCAAGAGAGGCTTGTTGGAGGTGTTATCCAAAAAGTGAAACCAGAACTATAAAACAAAACGATTTTAAAAATCTGCCTTGAGGGGTTAGGGTAATAGCACGGTGGGTAAGCCTTGCACGCTGCTGACCCGGGTTCGACTTCCAGCGTCCCACATGGTCCCCTGAGCACCGCCAGGAGTAATTCCTGAGTTCAGAGCCAGAAGTTACCCCCTGTGCAATGCCTGGTGTGACCCCCCCCCAAAAAAAGTCTGCCTTGACCAGGCAGTCCTGAGCAGTGACTGCTGACCCGGAAGGAAATGTGGAGGTCACGGGCATCTCATTAGCTGATTTGGGGCTTCAGTATCCAGACCCAAGGTCACAGGGTGCAAAGGCCTCGCCCTGTGATGACAAAGGACACATTCTCCTCCTCCCCTTCCCCTCTAGTCTCTCTTTAGTCACCCCACCTCTGTCACTGTCCCCTTTTTCCCTTTGGCCTGGGGTGATCACACCCTGTTGCTCGGTGATTTGGCTTATCTTTGGGCCAGTGCCCCGTGCCAGCCTGTGGGTATTTGATTCCAGACAAGACTTGGGGTTCTTTGTTACCGCACTGGGAGCCCAGGGGCGAGGCCCCGCTCAGCGGGCTCTGAGGGAACAGCCGGAGGCCCTGTGCCCGGGGGAGGAGCAGGGGAGGACCAGGATCTGTCGGTGGGTCTGTCTTCTAACGGCAGACCTGTTCCATCCCCCAGCGCTGGCTTTCTCCATCCCCCTTACTGAGCGGGCTTGGGGACTCCAGATGGAGCTCACGGGAGCCCCCAAGCAGGAGTGACAGATGGGGAGCGGGGGTGGGGGAGCTTAGGTCACTTGCCTGCACTCCCCAGCTTCCTGCCTCTTCCTGCTGTCTCATGCCACAGGTGTCAACCGCTTCTACGACAACATCCAGGAGATGGTGGGCTCCAGGCCTTGCATCTGGTGGAAGCTTTGCTGGTCCTTCTTCACCCCCATCATCGTGGCGGTGAGTGCAGGGCTGGCCACTCTGTGAGGGCACGCTGGACCAAGCCCTGGCCCTGCTCTCTCGCATAACGCGTGGGCCCCTTGCTGAGCCTCTGCCCCATGTCCCTGCTGGGCGGGCACCTGGGGCACCTGACCGCTGCCACCCAGTGGTTGTTGCTGCTTTCAGATGGGGGTTCCTGACCCATCGACTGCAACAGGCTCCTTATCCGCCCTTGCCTTTTCCTCCTGCAAGAGGAAACTGAGGCATGAGTCTCGGGAGGGCCTGCTCCAGGCTGGGAGGGTAGAGGGGACCTTCTCACATACTGTCTCCTGCACAGGAGCACCCGTGGGAGGCATGGTGGGGACTGGGCAAGTGCCCTTTTCCTATTGGTCCTCCCAGAGAGGGGGCACTTTTCTATTGGTCCTCCCAGAGAGGGCGCTTTTCCTATTGGTCCTCCTAGAGAGGGCGCTTTTCTATTGGTCCTCCCAGAGAGGGCGCTTTTCTATTGGTCCTCCCAGAGAGGGCGCCTTTCCTATTGGTCCTCCTACAGAGGGGGCTTTTTCTATTGGTCCTCCCAGAGAGGGCCCCTTTTCTATTGGTCCTCCCGAAGACGGTGCTTATCTTATACCGCTCCAAAGTGCCCTGTTGTACCGGCAGCATGCAGGGGTCCAGCATCCGGCCGCAGTGGAGGACTGTGGATGTCTTGGCCTCGGGTATGGGCGGGGCCCCAGCTGACTGACCTGACTGACCGCCCGATGCCCTCTCCTGCACCCCCAGGGTGTGTTCATTTTCAGTGCTGTGCAGATGACCCCGCTCACCATGGGGAGCTACGTGTTCCCCAAGTGGGGTCAGGGTGTGGGCTGGCTCATGGCCCTGTCTTCCATGGTCCTCATCCCCGGCTACATGGCCTACATGTTCCTCACCTTGAAGGGCTCCCTGAAGCAGGTAAGTGCTTCTCTCCCCTCTGCCCAGCTCCTGACCTCTCCAAGCTCTCAGTCTAGTCGCGGTGGCAGACAGACCATAGCCAAGGGCGATAGAGCATTGGGGCTCAGGTGAGGGGGACAGCTGGGCCGTGGGTTAGCTCTGTCTGGCCCTGGAAAGGTAAAGGAGGGTGGCTTCCTGAAAGGGGAGAAGCAGAGAGAGGCCTAGGAGGCTGGGAAGCATGTGCCAAGGCCCTGGGGTATATAGCCTGATCCTTGTGGCTGGAGGGTAGGGTGAAGGGTAGAGAGATGAGTGTGGGGGTTTAAGGCCAGGCCAGAGGGTGGGACTGGGTGTCTCGAAGTCTGGCTGTAGCCAGGGAAGAGCTACAAGAACTGGCCCCGCAGAGACCTTCCAGCACCTACTAGGAGCAACGTCGGGTGAAACTAGCTGTGGGGATCAGCCAGGAGTGAGGCACCGTGGCGGCAGTGCAGGGGTGAGAGCCAGCATGCTGGGAGGCTGCGTCTCAGTGGCTGCCAGCCTGGCTTCCTCCAAGATCCAAGCACAATGAAGATGGGGAGGGGAGCCCCAGACTAGCTCCTTTCACAGCTGGGGAAACTGAGGCCAGGCGGGCCACCCGCACTGCCCGGGTATTAAGTTAGCAGAGTTAGAGTGTCCAGCCCCGGCCAGCCCTTTTGTTTTCCACGACCCTCTAACTGAGTTCAGGAAGACCCTGGGGTCTTCCGGTGGCCAGCAGCCGTGGGCACGGATAAGGCGACCGACGTATAAAAAAGATGGTGTAACTGCGGGAGTGGGGGGTGTCTGGGATGTGTGCCACGTGCCACATACAGGGGACACTGAGGCCCAATCAGCATGGCCACAGGCGGGAGCCCCATCAGAAATAAAATACATGAAATGTATTAGACGTCCCTGAGCACTGTGGCATGGGCCCACAGGGGTGGGGCCCGGCCGTTTGCAGAGGGGCTGGGCCGGGGGCCGGGAGGGCGGGGACACAGCCTCCCTGCACCGGGTCCTGACTCTCCCGGTGTCCTCAGCGCATCCAGGTCATGGTCCAGCCCAGCGAGGACATCGTGCGCCCCGAGAACGGCCCCGAGCAGCCCCAGGCCAGCGGCTCGGCCAGCAAGGAGGCCTACATGTAGGGGCCCCCATGCTCGCCCCCCAGCCCGGCTGACGCGGCCACCACTTGACGTCTGAAGATAAGATAGTCTCTGTCTACCTACCTCGAGTGGCGAGTCCGGAGACCGTCAGCGCTGAGCCAGGGGAGGTGGGGTGCCCGCGGGGGGCAGAGGGACCGATGGCACCAGCCCCAGCCCGGGGTGGGGGCCGACCTCTTCCAGCCCTGGCCCTTGGGTCTGATCTCCCCTAAACTCTTCCCCCGCCAGCCACGAGGGCCCCCCGCTCCCGGGCCTGGGGTTCCATGACTGTTCCTTTACTGCCGAAGCCCACGACTGTTACCGGACTCTGCAGGTCCGTCCTCACGCCAAGGGCGTCCGAATGATCCCATTTCCAGGGAGCACTCGCTCTGGGGTAGCGGGATGCCCGCAGAGCAATCTGTCCCCTCTGCCCTCTTCTCCTTCCTGAGGCAGCTTAAGAAAACGCCCAGGACCTCCGGTCCCTCCCTAGCCCCTGCCGTGGGAGTAGTGGGGGGCGGCTTGGGGGCCCCAGAGCCTGAGCTGGGCCCCCGGTGGGGGTGGGAAGCACCTCTCGCCCCTCACCCCCGGCCCTCCCGAAACACCTGGCCCTAGGTGAGCCTTCCGGAGGTTCCTTGGAAAACTGCCACAAGCACAATTGATGTTTCTCTCAAGTCGCCACTCTGGGCCGACACCCCCTGGGACTCCCATAGAGCCAACACAGCAGTGTCCGGAGAGTCGGGGTGAAACCTGGGTCTGACTCGATCCAGTGCTCCCGCTCACTGCCACCCTCATCCCTGGGGTGTTCTCTCTGCCACTCAACCCCACCCCCAGCCCGCTAACGGAGGAGCCAGGGTTCATCCCTCCGCCCCCAGAGTGCTTCCGAGATGAGACTGTTTGCTTGCGATGACGCACCCTCCTCCCCCTTGGGGACGGGGCTTCACGGAGGCGGCGGTGGCGGCCGACCCCTGGGCAGAGACTTCTCACCAGTTCCCGTAACTGGGCGTTTCCCGTGTGCCAGCAAGACAGACCCCATGTAGCAAATCATACGTCGTGCCCGTAAGCTCCTTAGCTAGTTAGCACGAAACTGTGTTTGATGACTAACCCTTATAACTGGTGAATAACTGTGACTCTGGGTTTTTTTTAAATCTCGTATCGTTCCCGTCCACACCCGTCCTCGCAATAAAGGTGGCTTAGCAAGCACAGCGGGGAGAGCGCGAAGCCCGACGCTTCTGTCTGCCCCCACACATGTACAATCCAGCCACACGCGTGCTCGGTCGCCCCGATCCCTGTGCCCCGTCGCGTGTACCGTGGACTTGTTTCCAGTGCTGACTCTCTCCACGCTCCAACCGCGTCTGTGTTGTGAAACTGTAGCGTGTAGGAGGAACCGTGTGTCACCCTCCCGCCCCGTCCCCTGTGACCCCGTAGAGTAAGGGCCGAGGTCTTCTCTTTGTCCATCAGTGTGATCGAAGCCTGAGTCTCTCTGAGACAGCTGCAGCGCACTTCCTGTTTGTAAGCAAAACCTACGTGACACGTTGGGCAAGAAATCCCTGGACCGATTTCCACCCAAACCTGCGTATATAGCACAATATTACATGTGGTACAATTACTGTTTGGGATGTGGGTGTGTGTTACTTTTCTTTTCTTTTCTTTTTTTTTTTTTAGTATTTGCCCTGGGTGGTGGTGGGGGGGTGGGGGGAGATAATTGTATTATCCTATATGGTTTTCTTTTTCAATAAGGATTTATTCTCAGAACACCAAGTAAATCTATCTCTATATTAAAAAATATATGTAATATATACATATTCAAACTATATGCAGAGTCTGTTTAAAAAAAATTACAGTATTATTTAGTAAAATTATCTTGTTCTATGGACCAAATGTAAAATATTTATAAATGAAGATACATTTTAAATGTCTATAAATGGTGTCGTAACTAGAGCACGGGAATTATGTAAGTTTCTAAGAATTTAGAGGAAAAATAATAAAGGTTCTATGATATGTACCAATGTCAGACCTTCAGTTCACTGGGGTGTGGGAGCAAGAACCTCTTGGTCTGAGCAATCACGATACATACAAAACTTTTCTTCCCAGGGGTCAGAGAGAGAGTACAGCAGGAAGGGCTGACCCGGGTTCCGTCCTTAGCATCCCGTCTGCTCCTCCGAGCACTGTCAGGAGTGACCCTGGAGAGCAGGGACTAAGTCCTGAGCACCGCCGGGGGGAGCCCAAACACCAAAACAAAAAAAACACCGAAACAGAAAATAAAATTTAAAAAATGAGAGAGACAGACAGAGACAGGGAGGAAGAGGAAGGGAGAGAGGGAGACAGAGAGAGAGAGAGGGAGACAGGGAGGGAGCCGGAAGGAGAGAGGGAGAGAAAGGGAGGCAGAGGGGGAGGGAAAGAGAGGGAGACAGGGAGAGGGAGGGAGGGAGGGAGGGAGGGAAGGACTGGACATGCAAATAGGAGCCGGTAACTGAGCTGGTGGCTGCATGGGGACCTCTTTCACTGGGCTAAGTAGCCCCCGCTGTGGACACTCAGAAGAAACGGCCAGGCCAGGAATAAGGGCAGCACACACACTCTCTCATAGCCACCGGCCAGCGACCAGCTCCCCCCACGGTGCCGCTGCCCCTAAGACGCCTGTCCCCATCACACCGGACACCCCTGCTTCATCTCCACCCCCCAGCAGGGGACAGGGGGTGGGGGGGCAGAGGGACTGGCCTGGGAGGATCTCTGCAGGGGAGAGAGGGGGAGAGCCAAGTCAGCCTCTGCCTGGCACAGCTCCCCAAACCCACCAGAGCCATGCGGCTCTTCCTCCTCTTTAATGGGGGTCCGCCCCCCAGGCTTGTCTGGAAGGCTTCGTCTAGCGAACTGTCACTTCACAATTAAGCCCCCCTTTCTAATCAGAGGTGGCTGCTAATTACAGCTGCAGATTAGCGGGAGGTAACCAGGGTGACCACACCGGGCTGGGACTGTCTCAGACAGCAGCTCCGCTCCGTGGCATTGGGAGGACCCACCCCCTGAGTCCGGGGATCAGTGATCCCCTCTGGGCTCACACACCCCATCACCCTCTCCAGGCAGGCCCCCAGGGCTGCGCCCTGTCCTGCTGTATTTCCTTTCAGATGGAAGCTCTTGGGGGGTTTCGAGGGTGCCACTGCCAGAGGGTCTCGCCTGCCATGGGTCAAGAGAAGAGAAAACCGCAAGAGTTTTAGATCCGCAGTGCTCTGCATCCCCTGTGTATGGGGGGCCGGAGAGGTAGTACAGTGGACAGTACACTGCCTTGCAAGCGCCTGACCCAGGTTCCATCTGTGTATGGTCCCCTGAACCCCTCCGGGAGTGATCCCTGAGCACTGAGCCAGGAGTAAGCCCTGAGCACTGCTGGGTATGGCCCCAAACCACCCAACCCACAGTGCTGGGAGCCTGGTCCACTTCAGGGCACACACACCTGCTGCCCACGTCCCCCAGGAAAGATTTTGTCACCCCTCACCCTGCAGGGAGACGGTGGGGGGACAGCTGGGGACAGCCCTCCCTGGCTAGATTCTCTGTCCAGCCCGCACCTGACCGGGCTCCCCCCAGCACCCGGGGGCCCTGGACAACACCACAGGCTCAGCTGAGCACCGGACCCCAGGCCAAGGTTGCCAGTGGGGGCTCCTGGCCACTCCACAAGAGAATCCGTTTCTGCACCGCGTTAAGGTAGCCCGGGGCTGCCGTCTCTGCCTCGGTTTCACAGACGCGGCTCTGGAGGGCCTTCTGGCCTTCTGCCTTCATTTTGCCAATGTGGCGCTCACAGACATTTGGTTTTCTTGGCTCCGTCTCTTTGTCTGGACGAGGGGAGCCTTTGGTTTTTCATTACCCGAGGACAGTAACACTCGGTCGCGCCAATGTTGAAGACCCAGGTGGTGAATAGGGGGCACCTTGTCCACATCGATGTCCTCCCAGCCAGCTCCAGCTTCCCGCTCTGATGCTTAGAGAATCGGGGACAGGGATTGGGCTAGAACAGGACCCCACCCCACCCCCCGTTAACCTCTCCCCTAGCTGTTCCAGCTCACGGCCTGCCTTTGTGGGGAGGGGTGGTGGCAGGAATCATGCCTCCCTCTCCAGCCCCGTTTGCAGGCTTGAGGATAAGATGCCCCGTGGGGACCAGCTGCTCAGAGCTGCCTGCTGGTGACTGGCGAGCCCCCTGAGGTGCAGCAGACCCCCTATCTGGAGTCATAGCCCCACCGTGACCCAGGACACTCCCTTCCCTGGATGGCTGTGGGAGGTGTGGGTCGCGCTGATGAGAAGGGTCTTCCTTTGGGGGGCCCTGCTCACACCACCTCCACTTGATCCCCAGCACGGCCCCCCACAGGGCTTCTCACTGCCCAGCCTGCCTGGAGGGTCCCCTGTGGGTCACCCGCCACCACCATCTCGCTGGGGTGAGGGCCATAGCTGGCACCAGTGTTGTCTCCTGCAGAGAAGCAGGTAAGAAAGTGAGTTCAGGGGCTGGAGCACAGTGGGGTGGGTGCACCTTGCACATGGCCGACCCGGGATCGATCCCATCGGGTCCTCCAAGCACCGCCAGGACTAATTCCTGAGTGCAAGGCCAGGAGTAACCCCTGAACATCGCTGGATAACTAAGTAAAGTGAGTTCAACACGTACTAGACACACCCACGGACACACACCATACACACAGGCACACACACCACACACACCACACACACAGACACACACACCACACACAGACACACCCACAGACACACACCATACACACAGGCCACTCACGGCCAGCCCTGCTCTGCAGGTACCACTAAGGACCAGCCCATTCTGCCTGGGGGAATAAATGCTTCCTGGACTTAAGGCCTCCTGGAGGTGTCAGCGGGTGGCCGTTGCGTCCTTGAGGCCTGGTGCAGCTCAGGTACCAGGGCACAGTCTGAAGTACGGGGAGATGGGGCGGGAGCAGGAGAAAAGTGTGTGTGTGTGTGTGTGTGTGTGTGTGTGTGTGTGTGTGTGTGTGTGTGGAGGGGTTGTTCAGACACC